ACTCTCAATTCTGAGACCACCTCGGCCCCCTGTTTATACTTGCTAGAGAAATTTATTTTTTATAACTACTAGAAGAAAATTTATTAAATACCTTTTATGAACCTCAGGTCCTCTACTGTATCATCATCCTGATGCTTATTATTTTTCTAGTTAACTAGTGGAGCTGTGTGGGTTCAGTTTAATGATGGGTCACAGCTGGTGGTCCAGGCAGGCGTGTCTTCTATCAGTTACACCTCACCGAGTGGTCAGACAACGCGGTAAGTTTTTAAGATACTCATTGAGAGTCAGCTCTTTTCTATAATTTTGCTTGCTGTGTATTTTGAAGTAAATGATTTAATGAAGTTATTGTCTTTAAACTTTTCATTACTCATAGCAGTTCATAGTGTTTCTAATGCATATTTCATGATTGTGTGCATTAGTGCAGGGCAATTGGTATGAATAACCCAGGTATAATCCATTCAAATGGTTAAATTCCTTGTGGCCAAACTAGGTTGACTCTTAGTATAGTACACCTGTTTTCTTAAAAGAACACAGAAACAAAAAAGCCTTTTAGGAGATAACTTGATTATTTTTCCAAATGAAAGGCTGTTTTCCTTAATGTAAGGTGATCGATGTTTGACTTTCTGAAATGTGACAGGTGGCCCTTTGTGTATTTGGGTGGTGCATCCAAGGAGTCAGCTAACTGGAGATTGAAATACTTGGAAAAAATTACATCTGTACTGAGCACATACAGCATTTTTGTTATTTCCTAAACAATATAGTTTAGCTGTTTAATAGGACTTAACATTATTTTTGACATTACAAATAACCTATAGTTTATTTTGCTACTAGAGTTTGAACCCAGGGTACTCTAGCACTGGGTTATATCCCAGCCATTTTTAATTTTTATTTTGAGACACGGCCTAAGTTGCCCAAACTGGCAAGTGTCTGGTTAGACAGAAGATGACTTCAAAGTACAGAACATGGGGCTGGGGGTTTAGCTCACCAGCGTAATGGCCTGCCTGGCAAGTGCAAGGTCATGAGTTTGATCCCCGGTTTAAAAAAAAAACAAGAAATCCTCAGCTGGGGATTGAGCTCAGCAGCATAAGCGCCTGCCTGGCAAGCACGTGGTCGTGAGTTTGACCCCCAATACCAAAAAAAAAAGTACAGAACACACATACTTTAGAAACAAACACTATGCCATTTCTTACGAGGGTCTTAAGCATCCTAGGATTTTGGTGTCTAGGGACTTTTGAAGACACTGAGAGAAAACTATAGTTAGGCTATATGAATGTGTTTCAGCCATCACATAGCAAGAACCTTATTTTAACCAAAATTTACTTAAAGAAAAAGGTACTTGTTCCTTGGATTTTTGGCTAGGATGAAGTTAAAAGAAAGTCCTGAGAACACTACTTTGTGAGAAGTTTGCCTATTGTAGTAGAAATACTTGGAGCAGATATAATTTAAGGCCATCTCTACTCATTGCTTTTTTGTTAAATATGCCTGTATGTAACACCATTATTTAAAGAACTATACTTACAGTGAGACGCTTTGTTAAAAGCACTTCCAAATACACCAGGAAGTAGAAAAACATAAGGAGAAAGTGAGAACTTAGGTTCATGGGATAAATGTTGAGGTTTTTACTTGCTATGATCATTTGGAAATTGTTAGCATTTAATTGAGATGAATTGGTAATATATTTTATCTTAGTATTTTCTTAGAATTAGGGCCTTGATTTTAAATTTAAAGTCTAGTCACAGCTTGCTTTAGAGATTATAGTGAGTTCAAATTTTCTTTTTATTTGAATGTTTAGAATTTTTCTATTTTTAGAAGAAACAGTATGTTTCTGATTAAGGTATCTACTCTTAATTGTATACATTTTTTCTTACAGCACCTTTTGTTATTAAAGAATTACTGAAAATATGCTTTTTAGTACTCACAAAAACCAAGTAATTATGCTTTTACGTTGTTTTCCTGTTTCACTTAGGTATGGAGAACATGATAAGTTACCAGAATACATCAGACAGAAATTACAGTGTCTTCGTTCTATCCTTTCAATGTTTTCTAATCCAACTCCTACTTTTCTTTGATTGAAACTTTCTGATAATCTATGTTTAATAAATAACTTTCTGGTTGGCTTTCAAATAAAGTGACTTTTAAAATTTAATATAACTTCTTCAGAAAGCCTTTCTATTAAAACAAATTTAAATCTGTACGCTAAAGGATAAATGCTGGGAACAAAGTTGAATGAAACTTGAGTCACTTACCAAATATAGTGATCATAAAATGAAACAGGACACCTAACTTTGCTCTGATGATGTACACGTGCAGGCTTATTCTGTTCATATATGTATTTAACGATTTTTTTAAAGTGAAAATATAAATGTTGTGTGGCGTGTTTATACATTTATTGTTTTCCGTACTTAAGACATGTTGAGAATCATGGATAAAATGTGCTGTGGTTTTGGAATTTTTGATATGTAAATAATGTATATTTATAAGTAACATATGTAAACATGTACATTTGTTTTATATTTATTTTTGTAGCACTCATGAAGAAACAGTTCTGCAAATGTATTTTATAAAAAATAAACAGTGCTAAGTACTTTGTTTTGATTTATTTTTAAAAAGGTAGTGTAATCTAATTTTTAAATGTTGTTGCCTATTTACGAAGAGCCAATTAAAACTATAAATTTTATAAACATTAAAACCGTTTCTGATCCTGGTGTGATGGCACATACCTGCAATCCCAGTACTCAGGAGGCTGAGTGAAGAGGATCACCAGTGAGTTTAAAGCCAGTATAGGCTACGTAGTAAGTTCAAAGCCAGTCTAAACTACACAGCAAGACCCTATCTCAAAAAAAAAAAAAAAAAAAAAGCTCTATTGACAAGTTCTGCTTAAGGCAATGAAAAGAAAAAAATACTATAATTGTAATATGAATTACAGTTAAAACAGCAACAACTGCCTGAAATCTCAGCACTTAGGAGGCTGAGACAGGAGGATTGCTACAACTTCAAGGCCAGCCTAGACTATATAGTGAGTTCAAGGCTATTTGAACTACATAGAGAGACCCTTTCTCAAAAAACTAAAAACAAGAAAACTCCAGTCCAATAGAAAAATGGACAAAAGGTAGGAATTATTCATAAAGGATTAAATCCATATGATGAACAAAAATGGAAATTAGCTCAACCTCATTAAAGTTGAGGAAAAGGAAAAATTAAGACAATAAAGAATTGGTTTTAAAAAATAGCCTCTACAAACACAGGTAGGAAATTTTCAGCTATGGTAAATGAGAGCATAAATGATTATAACAAATATGGGAATATTTTAGAATTAACATTTAAATCTACTGGGTCTAACTTAGGAGAAGAAAATTAGGTAAGACCTAGAGACGATATCAGAAATAAAGTTAACCTTTAAATAAATAATTTCCAGCCAAATTTTGAAGGTGAAAAGCAGCACATTTTTTTGCTGTAACAACTACTAGGTATGTATTACATAGCTCTTTCTGTCTCTGAGCCTTTTTTAGGTATTTCTCTTAGAATACACAGGTGAATACTGTTTTATAATACAGCTTACTAACTGTTCTACCCTAACTTGCTCACATTTATCATTATTTCTGGCATATTTTTCTGTTTGTCATTGCAGGGCATTTATGTCTCCCGGTTTATTTAATATTATGTACCATATATGTGTTTTCTTTCCTTTTTCTCTTCCCTATAAGAAGACATTTCCTTTTTTTTTTTTTCCTTCATTAGAGAGATACAGTGGTAATAGCCAATGTTTACACTATCAGAACTATGAAACTTTAATTGGGCTCTGTCCTGTACTAGAATTGTTACCACTTGAACGACGTTTATTTTTTTCTGGAGTCATTTGCTTCAGTATATAGGTAATCTGTGCCTTTCCCCCCTTTTGAAGACATCTTTTTTTATCCTACTTGGACTGATTGCTGTATAGTTTTCCAATGTATAAATTAATTTAGTTAATCAGTTATACTGTTGAGTATCCAGATTTTGGCTGTTAGACATTCTGGTACATATACACAAAAGTGGGCTGGGGGTTTAGCTCAGTGGCATAAGTGCCTGCTTGGCAAGCACAAGGATGTGAGTTCAGTCCTTACTTCAAGGGGAAGGCAGAGTTCATATGCACAAAAATTCTAAGGCTTCACTCAATTTGCTGGAATTTAGAAGTTAGGTATAATTTCAGACTCAAACTTCAATAATATCAAGTGCATACACTTCCACCTGCTATGCATATATTATTGTACATCTTCACCAGAAATTGCCAGTTTGATGTGTAGAGAATAGTGTATTACTAGCTGGACGAGGTGGCACATGCCTGTAATCCCAGCACTTGGGAAGCTGAAACAGAAGAATCACCTCCAAACTCTGTCAGCTAGCCTGGCCACATGGTGTTTGAGACTAACCTAAATCACATAGCGAGACCCTGATTCAAGAAAACAAAGATTAAAAAAATAGTATATTATTCTGATTTAAATTTGTACTTCCCTCATTGAAATCTTTTATTGTCTGTCCCTTTGAGACTTGCCTGCTAGCCTGTGGCACTTCCCTAGTCGTTTCTAAGGATATCCAGTGTGTACCTATTGTCTGCTCACCCCTTCTGCCTGCAAGGCATTTGTTCCATCTTCTCCAATCCCACTCACTTTTTAAAACTTTTTTTTTTTTATTACCTGTTTCCCCTCCCAGGTCCTAATTCCCCAGCCCTTCTTTCCCTCAGATTAGTCTTTGCTAGGCACTGCCTCCTTGGAGACAACACACCCCCCCACCCCCGCACCCCCACCCCGCTTTCCTTTTCAGTCAGGTTCCCTGTACGCACTTCACCGCCCTTCCCTGGGTCACAGTCTCCTGTAACACAAACGATGTCCGACTTTGGGAGGGAGAAGTTGTGTGTGTGCTGTTTATTCCTCTGTACTCAACAGTTACATAGTATTACTTGGCATGTTGTGTGTGTTCCTTAATTATGTATTAATAGTACAAAAGAATGGAGTTCCAGGACATAGGTAAAACCTTGTTTATTAGAAAATGAACAAACAATGTAAAACAGACATAAATTACAAATACATCTACAATAGTAAAGTACCATGAATTTCTTTCCAAGTTAATATATTTTTTAACAGATGCAGCTAGTATATCCACGTTAAAATAAATTACAAATTCATTTTATGCAAAACAGCTTTGTATGAAAGCTTACGAACTGGAAGAGTTTAAATGTAGACAAGGTTAACAGAATAGAGATGCTTTGTGGAGTTATGAAACCAGTACAATTATGAAAAGCACCCCTCTTTGAGTTCAGATTTTCCAAAATAATATTCCTTAAATACATAGTATTCTTGGCCATGTTTTAATACCTTAGAGTCTCATATCATCTGTTTTCAATTTATACTTGTTTTATCCTACTCAAGACTTAACTGGGCAATTTCTTATTTTACGTCCTTGCCCTTTTTTTTTTTTTTTTTTAATCTTTTTATTGAGCCCGGGGATCGAACTCACGACCGCCTGCTTGTACGGCAGGTGCTTATGCCGCTGAGCTAAATCCCCAGCCCCCGTGTCCCTGCTCTTTACCCAAACTTATGTCACTTCCCTGTCTTCTCTGCCACCGTGCACTTCATACTGAAAGTGAGGACTTTTCCCCAAAGAGTGTGCAACAGAAAGGAAGGTGCTATCATTTTTGTAAGGCTACAGTTTATCTGGATTATAATTAACACCATAACTAAATCTGTCTCATTATCTCACCTCTAAAATTGGAATCATAATGGTATCTTTTCCCTATAATACTGCTGTGAGAATTGTACCTTACACATTACCAGGAATATAGAAATACTTGCCCATAATATTTCCTTTCCATTGCTATTATTTTATTATGCAAACTACCCAAATGGTGAAATTACTATCTAGGATAAAGTGACCCAAAAAACAAAAGACCAGGAGGACTGTGGGAGTTAAAAAGTAGAAGGTAATAGGTAGGAACGACTGCAAGGCTTCCCCCAAATACCGGGAATTCTGGCTGCGTTTCTGTTAAATCTACTCAAGTGTTGCTATGGGAGACGAAGAGTACAAACATTCCCAAACTGCCACAATTCAGTCACAGGGTGACTTCTATCAGATTAAGCCTTTTATTATAGCTGGATCAACTGGGTTTGACAGAATAGCAACGTTAGTGTAAAAAGCAGACTAGTGTTTATTTTAAAATATAGCAAAGAAAGCTCTAGAAAAATATGTAGAAATGTTTGCTTTTTATAATGCAATTTTAAATGAGTTTTTTGGAGCAGATTTTTGTTTTACAGTACTGGGGGGACTGAGTTCAAACTTGTGATCCTCCGGCCTCAGTGTCTGAATGCTAGAATTATAGGTGTGCACCACTATGCCCAGCTCACATAGCTCTTTACTAGAAATCTATCAGCATTAGACTCCCGCAGAGGTAGAAGTGTACACATAGTGTTTTAGCCAACTTTCAATAGATTCATTAAACTTAAGTGAGAGCCATTGCCTCAAATAGTTATTAGCATGTCTACGGCCATTAAGTTCCATTCAAATTTAAAGTCCAACTAAAATTCTATAGTTATAAATAACAGTATGTACACACACTGAAAATTGTGCTCCTTCCTGCCACTACTGAGTGACAGGAAAGTATTAATAATGAAAGTTTCTGTAGAGTTTAGAGGAGTTAGGAAATAGCAATAATTTTAAGAACTCATTTATGGTTTAGTACATACATGCAGTAATATATCTGGTTTCTGTTTCTAAGATGAATTATTTATTAGAACTTGAAAGAAAAAAAGCCCTATTCAAGGTAATGCAATCCATCTCCTTTTTATTGTTCAAATTGCTGGCATTCTTCTTCATGTTAATTTAGGGATTGGTGAAATCTTGAGTTAAAGTAAGAGGTGCAATATTAGAACAGAGACTTAAGGTAAGGCAGGATGATAGGCAGGTTAAATAAGGATTTGAGTGATTTTTATTAAAGACTGGATAATAGAAAATATCTATGAATAAATAAAATTCTTCTAGAGTTTTGTTCTGCTCTGCTGCTGCTTTCACAGCACAGGTAACATTATTTTAATGACACCTCTGCAGGTTTGTATTAAAGAGGGCAACTTCATATTCACAAACCACTGTCTATTTGCTCTTAGTTCCTGAAACCCCAAAAAAGGCAGTATTAGAATACTTCTTTTTTGAGATAAAGAAGTTATAGCCTAGAATGTTTTTATGTATTGTATTCACAATTACATGTACAAATCCCTCTGTTATATGTTCTTGTAATTCAAAATGTGCAAAGTCTACAGCCTGGCTTTGGAGACTGGTTTACAGCATTAGTCCAGCAAAGCCTTAGACTGAAAGTGCCATGTACCTGGTACTTTCCACCAGGCCTTAGCTGGGAGACTCCTGAATCCCCCCATATCTTACAGAAAAGGCAACGAGTCTTTTGTAAACCACTCCCAGGAGTGCGATGGCGAGCAGCACTATTCCACACACAAGGCCGAATGCCCACCGCGGGCCCAGGTAACTATACACGTGGCTGATGAACACAGGCCCCAGGATCCGCGCTCCGCTTCCGGAAGCTGTTAACCAGCCCATGTACACACCCTGCATGGAGAAGGGCGGGACAAGCACACACATGCTCAGGTTTTGTTGTTTTAAAACAATGCTATTACTAAACTAGCAAACTCAATCATCTTAGTGGGAAACAACTCCAGTGACTCCCAAAACAATTACTGTGACTCTGATTATTTGGAGACTCATTTCCTTATACTGATATGTAAATGGCTGGCTAGGGTATTTCCTTTTCTCTTCAACTGGCTCAAGGCCTTGTATATAAGGCTAGCCAAGGTGCTAATATGTAATCTCTCTGGCCAACAGACAGTCCTGTTTCCTTGCATCGTGTTCTCCACACAGTACAGATATGTACAGAATTGAGCACCCAGATGTTAGAGCAAATAGCTCTGGGAATGTCAACTGGGTACAGCCTCAAGATAAGAGACTATTGAAAGGGTTTTGGCCCAGATAGGACACTGTAGCCAGGAAAGCCTCAACCGGAAGCAGGAAGCCCAATCTCGCCCGCCCCTAGGAAGTTACCTGTGACGCCATCTTCCCGCCCCTGGAAATTTACATATGGCGCCAAACCTAGGACCAATGGGCTACCTGTGTATCCCTAATGCCCGCCTTAGGTTCCACCCCAAACCGAGGATATTTAGAGGCCCCCACGACACGTGTCCGCTGGAGAGATCGCCGGGGGCCAGCGGTGGGGGTGCCAGTCATCTCTCTCCGTGTTCTCAGAATAAAGGCCGCTTTTTATTTTATATTTCTCATCTCTTGTTAATATTTTTCATCTTTTGGAAATAATCCTAGCAACTATGACTCCCCAGGGCACAAGAGTTTGCATATCAGGAACCAAAGTTATAGCCCCCCAAAACAATTCCACTGCTACCTTATAATTAGATTATATGAATTGACCCTTCTGCATATCTTTATCTCTGCAATTTACAGAAGTGCCTTTCTCTCACCTGGCCAGCCAGCTCAAGTTACTTCATATAATTCCCGCCATCCTCACTATCACTCATCCCTGAGCCACGCCCCTTCCTCACAAGCTAATAAATGCTTGGGAGAGGCCTGGGATCAAGGCCTTTGTGTGCTTGTCCTCACAAGGATTTGACTTAGGACCCCTTGGCTGCCCTTAACTTGGAATATGTCTTGGTGTTTTTACTCTTGCTGTGAGTTGCACTGGTGGGGGTATATTAACTTGCTGGGATTCCAATGATGTCTCAATGGGAATACAAAAATAACTTTGGATTGTGAGGAAAACTAAAAAGAGGACTACAATACTTGGATGACTGAACTCATTATTTGGGCAATATTTATTAGACAATACTTTTATCTATTTTATACTTTGGGGAGGGGGTGGTGTACCAGGAATCGAACTCAGTACCTTGTGCTTCCCAGGCAGGCAAGCTGAGCTATATCCCCAGCCCTCTTACACTTACACTTCTAAAATGGAGTATAAATTTAGACAGTAATAAATGATAACTCCTATTAAAACCAGCTTAAGCAAAATAAATGCAGAATACAGGGACCTTGCTCCCCACTTTCGGTGCTCATGCATGCTTGGCAAGTGCCCTGCCACTGAATTAAAACTTTCGCTGTTAACAGGAAGGTCATTAAGGTCTGGTAAAGGCTGGGGAACAATACACCTTATTAATACACATTTTATTGTATTGTATTTATTTTATGTTATGGTACTTTGTTTTGAGTACTGGGAATCTAACTCAGGCAGGCACCATGCCACTGAGCTATATCCCTGACCCCTTAACACACCTTTCAAAGCTAGCATTTATTTTGTATCTGTTGCCTTCTGGGCACGGAGGTAGGAACTTTACATATACTGTTTCTAATGTTTACAAATTCCAGTGACAGGTGCTGTCTCTAACAAATACAGAAGCTGAAGGGGCTGGGGATTTAACTTAGTGGCATAAGCGCCTGCCTTGCAAGCCTGTGGTTGTGAGTTTGATCCCCGGTACCAGTAAAAATACAAAAAAAAAAAAAAAAAAAAAAAAAAAAAAAAAAAACAACCACCACAAAGCAAATATAGAAGCTGAAACTCAGGAAGGTTAGATAACTGTCCAAGAGACTTCAAGCTGCCACTGTTACAAGTAGTACACAAACTATGTCCCATTCAATCTACCCAAGAATATTTAGTATAGCAGTACTTTTTTGGTTGTTATTCCACGTAGTTCAGATGAGGCTTGAATTTACTACAGGGTGTAGAACAGGTTTGCCCCAAACTCTTGGAGATCTGCCTACATAAGCCTTTCGAGTGCTGGGATTACAAGTGTGCACACAACCACACTCAGCATGCTGTGTTCATTTTAACAGCCCCACATTGAAAACAAACTACTTGTCCCATGTTAGAGTAAGTACATAAATTATGGCATATTTAAAAACTGGAATGCTTAACAACTATTTAAAAGAATAAAACCATATAGGTTGTGATCTGAGAATAACACACACAGACATGGAAAGTTACATTAAGAGAAACAATACAGAAAAAACCAGATGCACATGCAATTTAATATTTAAAAGTGTAAATGTAGATATGTTTGAACAGACATAAAATGTCTTAAAGGTTACAAATGAAGCTAATGTCTGCTGATGCGGGTGCGGTAAGGCTTTGGAGACTTTTCTGTCATGTACTTCTAAGTTACTTGACTTTTGTTATAATCATCAGTATTGCTTTTATAATTAATATTACTTTCTTTTTTGAGACAGGACTCTCAGGTGACCTTTCTGCCTCAGCCTCCCTCGTACATGGGACTAGAGATGTGCCACTGTACCCACTGAGCTGCAAACCAAGTCTTAACTTTGAAAAATTGAAAATATAACTTTCAAAATGAAAATCAAACCCAGGACTTGGTTAGTAGCTCAGTGGGAGAGGAGGTGTGTAACATGCACAAGGCCCTAAATTCTACTCCCTGCACCAAAAAACCCAAATGAAATCCAGAAATTGTTACCAAAATGCTTACCTATTCGTAGCCTAAAAACAGTTATTAAATTTTTTCTCTATTTATTTCAACAGAGGAACACTAATTTCTGTGCTGAAAATGTAAAGTTTAACTTTTTAAGAATGCTACAGCTGTAATCCCAGCACTTGGGAGGCTGAGGCAGGAGGACTGTTATGAGGTTGAGGCCAGCCTGGGCTACACAGTGACCCTATATCAAACAAACAAACAAATAAACAAAAGTGCCACAAATGTATTTCATGTAACTGTACTGTTGGGGTAGCTGGCATACCTGAGGTTTTGGTCCTAGAATTTTTGAATACAGAGTGTAGGACATGACATTGCAGGCTGGATAGCCCATGCCAATGAACACCACTGATGTGAAGAACTGTGCCATGTGGATCACTGGGGTGTAGAGGCACCACGCTTGCTCAATTGGGCAACCAGTTGGTAGTTCGTTCTGATCTCTCGGTGACTTCCAAAGACCAATAATGATTTCCCCAAATGTGGCATTAGGGATTGAATTATTATGTAAATCTGTAAAAACAAAATGAGTACAGTGCGTGACTTGTTAGTTTTTGATAAGCAGTGGGGAAAGTTACAGATTTGTGTGTCTATACCTTTCCACTGTATTTTGGGAAACTGATTCCCCCAAGGCAGCAAGATAAAGAAGCCGGCCCATATCACCAGGAGTCCTCCCAGCAGAACAGCACGCTCACCGATCCTGTTATAGAACACACTCTGATTTTACAATGAAACACTGAAACGCAGTTCCTTAATTTTATACTTTAAAAATTCCAACTCCGATACTTTTAGTGATACATACATAAATTAATATGAATGCTAAATATAATTTCCCACTAAAAACAAGGTTTCTCTGGAAAATGACTGATTTCAGGTCTGGGGAAGAAGACTTAGAAGATGAACCAGAGATCCTCACAGAGCAGCGAGCACAAAACTAAGTAATGATTAGCTCACAAAGAAAGGGTGCAGGGCCAGTTTGAAGATCACAAACAATGTAACGATGTGACACCAAAATATACAAAAGGGTGCTAGGGAACTAACTCATTATTATTATTACCTTTTTTTGGTATCAGGGATCAAACTTATAACCTTGCACTTGCTAGGCAGTCACTTGCCCCACTGAGCTAAATCTATGGCTATTATTATCTTTTTGAGACAGGGTCTCATTATACAGTTCAAGCTGGCCTTGAGCTCATTTTGTAACTCAGGCTAGTCTTGAACGTGCAATGATCCTCCTGCCTCAGCCTCCTGAGTGCTGGGATTCTAGGCACGTGCCACTGTGCCCGGCCAACTCATTACTTTATCATTCAGTTAAAGGAAAGAATAAGCATTTCTCCTCCCTGCCTTACACACCAACCCTCAGGTTAACTGAGTAGTGAGAAGGTTCTCTAGAAAGTATCAGAATGAAACTTTTAATACAATAAAATACATTTGTCACTTGTTATCTGCAGGGCACTGATTACAGGACATCAAAATCCTAACATACTTAAATCTCTTACATAAAATGACACAGTACTTGCATAGGCACATCTTCTCCTATACATGTCTAAATTTGTTATAATACCTAACAAAATGTAAATGGTGTATAAATAGCTGCCATAGCATATTGTTTAGGAAATAATGACAAGAAACAGAAGTCCACATGTATCACAGACACTTTTTTTCCAGAGTATTTTTTTTCTAAAGTTAGATGAATCCATGAATGTAGCACCTGCAGCCTGGGGGTGCCTAACTATCAGCATTTGCAAGGATCAATTAATGGCTTCATAGGATGCTCAATGACTACTTATAGCAAAAGGGATACACAAGACATTGTTTTGAGATAAGCACATAGTACTACCTGTATTCTTGCAAAACCAAATCTCATTAAGCTAAGTCTTGATCCAACTATGGGTTTTCAAGGAACATAGTAGAGGAATATGCTAAACACTACAGTGATGGAATCCACAAGATTCAAACTGGCAAACTGTAATGCAGAAAAATGCAGACATCTCTAGTTTCACCTTGTGAGGGAGGAGAAAGGGAGGGAGTTTTAATTTGTGAGGGAAGGGGGTCACGGCGGGAGAAGGAGAGAAAGGTGAGAAATCAGAAAATAAGTTTAGTAATCTTAACCAGATTTCCAAAGGTACCCACGGAATAGAGCATGCAAATATTACACTGTCTTAATAATTTCAAATATTTGCAAACTTTCAAGAACTACAAACTATATATAATGAGAGAAAAGCTTTAGGTTATTTCATCAGTACATTCATTTACATTGCTTCACTTTTTAAGACAGATTTGAGCAGCAGCACCAGCAGCAAAGCCTGCTGGTGACGCACAGGTGTAATGCCAGCTGCTTGGGAGGCTGAGGCAGGATGATCATAAATTCATGGCTAGCCTTGGCAATTTTGTGAAATCCTGTTTCAAAATTTAAAAATAAATTTAAAAGGGATAAGTATACAGCTCAATGTGAGGCCCTAAATTCAATCCCCAGCACCACCAAAAAAGACTGCTCTGAAATAAAACTATAAGCATAGAACTCACATTTTGGAAAGTAATTTAACCCCCAAGAAAACAACAACTGCCTCCACTCCAAGACCAGCAAGTATGATTCCATTATATAACACAGCTTGTTCTTGAGTCCAAGCGTACATATCCATTGTTAATGGAGTAAGGATTCTAAGAAAAACAACAAAGAAAGTATTTTATTTTAATCTCAGTAATAAAGTGAAGAAGAAGTTTTAACAATACATATACATTCAAGGATTTGTATCCCTTTTAACAGTGACAGCAGACTGATAGAAGCAAAAGTATAAACATATTTTTTGTTTTGTTTTGTTTTTGGTACTGGAGATCGAACTCATGACCTTGCACTTACCAGGCAGATGCTTACACCACTGAGCTAAATCCCCAGCTCTAATTTAACTATTATTAAACAGTATAATTCAAGATGAGTGTGGTAGCGCATGCCTATAATCTCAGCACTCGGGGAGGCTGAGGCAAGAGGACTGCAAGTCTGACCCTAGCCTGGGGAATTTGGCAATTGAGCAAAAGCCAGTCTAAAAAAATAAAAAAGGTCTGGGATTGTAGCTTAGTGCAACCTTAGTTCAATCCTCAGGACTAGAAAAGAAAAACTGGTGCCTTCTCCGAAAACAAGATGAACTAAAATGTTCCATTTATGTCAGTAATTTTGAAAGTAAGTGTATCAAGCAAAATCTACTGTACTGACACACACACAAAAATGCCATAATACACTGATAAATGAATAAACCAAGATGTCAAATAATGACAACATTGAGTCTATGTGAGTTTAGTAAATATTTTCTCAATCAATCTCAGTCTATCTGTCTGTCTGTCTCTCTCTCTTTGCATAGAATAAGATGCATAGAATTGCATAGAATAAGATGTTTGAAAACACAAACTGAACTACTAGTAGTAGTTACCACCACAGAAGGGAGCAGATATGAGAGCACACCTGTAATATTTGGAATTTTATAAGGTACTAATTTTATAATTTAGCAGGTATTTTTAAAATGAAACAGCCCTAGGATAAACAGATGCCATCTGAGATACTGTACTATGTTAGTTCTTTGTTTTTAAAATTAAGGATTAAATAGAGTTAAAATTGCCAGACTAAATGCTGCATATGTTCAGGTTATATAGCTTAGTTAATTAAATCATAATACACACACTTTACACACTGTGATAAGAAAAATATGCCTTACATCAAGTTTAATATCTGTACATCTGCCAGGAGTTAGCTCAGCGGCTCAAGCACTTGCCTGCTAAGCACCAGGTCATGAGTTTGATCCCTGCACCAAAAAAAAAAAACAAAAACAAAAACAAACATCTATCCACTTAATTAGCACTGCATTAATCATAATATAATATGTAATATATAATCTGATTTACACGAAGACAAAATAAAAACTTACGTTTCAAAAAGGGCAAAGATAAATAGAACCACAAAAAAGAGAACATTGGTGGAGACAACAGCAATTTGATCGATACTGCCTTGTGAAATCTGAACTTCATCTGTATTTGCTAAAGGTAAACAGGAAACAGAATATTGTTACCTTTGTATTTAAATTTTCTTACGATACTAAAATAACAGAAATGATACATGAATAAATATTTAAATCATTTTAATGTTCCAAAGCTGTTTAAAATGAACAGTATACATCAACCTCCCAAGTGCTGGGATTACAGATTGCACTACATAGTCTCAAAAATAAAAACACAGAACATAACTTGTATGGCAGAAGCAATTTTTAAGTAACATAAAAGTAAAGTGAATATTCTTTCTACAAGCTAAACTTATGTACAGCAATTACTCATATTTATTTTGTTTGGTGTCTTTCGATCAACAATGTCTGTAATCCCAGCACTTGAGAGGCTGAGGCAGTAAGATCACAAATCTGAGGCCAAACATAGCTAGTTTGAGGTCTCCCTAGATTACATGGTGAGCCCTGTCTTAAAAATTTTTTTTTAAAAAGTACATTTTTAAAAAAGCACTTCTGTAACACATTGATTTCTTTTTCTTTCTTTCTTTTTTTTTTTTGGTACCAGGGACTGAACTCACCACTGCGCACTTGCAAGGCAGGTGCTTATGCCGCTGAACTAAATCCCCAGCCCCAGTGATTTCATACTTTATATTTTAGTTGCAGGTGTTTTTTTCTACCTTAATTTTTTTGTATGAACTGGGGATTGAACACAAAGACTCATGCTTGCTAAGAAAGCACTCTATCACTGAGCTATTTTCCTAGACTGTTAAAGTTTTAAATTCTGAGACAAAGTCTCACTAATATGTCCAGGCTGGTCTTGAACGTGTAATCCTCCTGCTTCAGCCTCTTGAGAATCTAGGATATTATGATGAGCCACCACACCTGGCGTATATTGATAACTCACTTTATATTGCAGCTAGGTACACACATGCACACTTTTTTGTGCCTCTGCTATTAGTTGAACCTTGTGCTCCACCACCGTGTGCCCAAGAAGATGTAACACCTCTCCACAAGCCCAGTAGCAGTGACACCCATGGTGATGGGGATAGGTCTTCCTATTAAACTCAGCTGGGGGCTGGGGTGAGAGGGTCACAAGTTCAAGCCCAGTGCAGGCAACTTGGTGACTTATGGAGAGACCCTTGGTTCAATCTCTAGTACTGCCAAAACTAGCTAAATAACTAAATAATGCCTGGGATGTAGCTCACGGAGAAGGGCCTGGGTTCATTCCCCAGAATTACCTACAAAATAAATCAGTTTAGGGACCGTAAGCTTTCAAGATCCTCCCCAGCCACCCATGGCATTATCCTCAGAAGAAAAATCCTAATATTCAATAGCCATGATCATTAGACACACTCTAATAATGCTAAAGTAATTTAGTCAAATACATTAATAGTACCTGCTTCAAAATTAATACTGTTACATGGTCGTCCTGAGTCATCCACACGATGTTCTCTTAAAAAGAAAAACAAATGTTGTGCTCATAAAATGCTTAGTATAATATAGAAAAATGGCTTAAATTTATTAGTAGCATTCTATTTTCTTTTGACGGTATCAAAAGTTTATTTGAAAAGTGAGGGCTGAATGGGTGTGGGAGAAACCAGCTCTGCAGAGTGAACTTGGGCAAAACAAGAAAAAAAGAAGAAAGAAGGAAGAATAAAAGCACATGCTGCACCTGAGAAGAGGCATTGGCTTCCATGGGAACTCAAGACAGCCAGCGTTCTAATTTCTTTTATAATTAATGAATATCAACAATAAACTTTAAAAGACAGAAGTTGGATTTGGGGGTTTGTGGCACTGGGGACTGCACCCAGGCGCCTTACATACTGGGCTACATCTCAGACCTTTTTTCAATGTTTCATTTGGAGACCAGGTCTACGAAGTTACCCAGCCTGGAGCTCAAACCTTCAATCCTGCTGCAGCATTCAGAGCACTGGCATTACAGGTGGGAGTCACTACTCCCACCTGTAATTGTCACATTACCATAAAAATTTTAAAAGTACCTAACTCACTTAAAAGCATAGGTTCCACCATGTGTGATCTACCTTGACATTTTTCAGTGATTTTAAACATCTATAAATGGTTTTGCACAAATGGATAAAGAACTCTAGTATAAAATAATACAACTTCTATAGTTTTTTTTGGAAAATTTCTTGGAAAATTTTTTTTGGAAATTTTCTGGAAAATTTCTTCTAAAATAAAAAATGTACAAGACAAGTAACCTATGTATTTAAGGTTGACACTAAGACATTAACCTACTAAAAATGTTTTCACGCCATTCACCTATATAGAAACACCTTTAATAAATCAAGACTAAATCTTGAATCTCAAAAGATTTTCATAATCTGTTCTCATTTCATAATCTGGCTATTATTGTAGATGCCCATATTTTAGCTGATCAAAAAACATGAACACAAGTAGAGACATTAGAAGTAAAGACTACATGACAATAATTATCTTCCAATAATGAAAAGGCTTATTTCTTTTTTTTTTTTCTTCCTCTTTGTGTGAGTAGGAGAAAAAGCTTATTTCACAATCTACAAATTCCACTTAGCATTTTGGTCTAATTACCTGAATGCAGCAAGGATCAGAACAATATTTAAAACTCCTAAGAAGGCGCCAAGTAAGACTGGTGCAGTGTACATGTTTATCTGCAGCTTAATCACATCCCATGTCACGCCCTTGTCTCCAATGAGTGCAAAACACGTCTGAAAAACTTATTAAAATACACACAGATGAATTATTATATTGAGAAAACAGGCTAAAAATATAAAACACCACTGAATTGGAATTAACAACTGGATCACCTATCCACAGGGCAAGAAAATCAGTTCTGTGTTACATACACTTTATGTATAAAACACAGAGGTACATGCACACATATCTGACAGATGATGATTTATCAGGGTCTTCTTTGCAGAAGGTGGGCAGTGGTTCTGGGAATTAAATCCATGCCCTCATGTATGCTAAGCATGGACTCTATCATGGAGTACCCAACCCAGCTCATGTCTTCTTGTCTTTAAAAAAGAAAAGCAAAAATTTTAAAAAAATTTTTAAAAAGGGAAGGGACTGCACAGTAGGGGGGGAGATCCAGATGCCATCCTTTTCCCATGAATTAGCACCATTTGCGGGCTGCAGGGAAAGAGAACAAGATGTCACCAAGAAGCAAGCCCTCCCTGCAAATCAGCACTATGTGTGGGCCGCTGTGGGTGGACAGCCAGGTGCCAGCATTTTCCCATGAGTCAGCGCCATTCATGGACTGCAGGAGGGAAAGAGAATAAGAAGTCACCAAGAAACAAGCCTTCCCTGCGAATGAGAGCCATGTGCGGGCTGCTGCGGGGAGAGTCAGATGCCAGCCCTTTCCAGCATGCAGGCTGGGAAACGAGGACAGCCAAACCCCATCCCCACAAGTGACCAGCTGATCCAGAGAAATACAGGATGCCATAATGGCTACTGAGGTAAAATACAATTTAATGCTTGTAGTGTTCAGTGTTTCACTGACTTTGCAGGTCTAAAACCAGTAGTCTGATCATCTATTCAGAGAATAACAATGTGCAATGTAGCATCTATGGGGAATCTCCTTTTGAAGGTGGTGGCCATTGTTAATTTCCTATTATCTTGTTTAGAAGTCTTATATCATTTTCATGGTTTTGTTGGGTGAAAGGGTTTTTGGCCTAGACATGACACTGTAGCTGGTAAAGCCAAGGAGCTCCTATCTCCCCCTCCCTCAGGAATCTACCTCTGGCGCCAAACAAAGACCAATGGGCTACCTGTGCATCCCTAATGCACCCTTAGGTTCCACCCTAAACCAAGGCTATTTATGTGCCTCACTCCACGTGTTCCACGGAGAGATGAGAGAGATCGCCGACCCAGGGATGGAGATGCCGCGTCCCAGGGGATCGGGGGTGTCTCTCCCAGCATTATCTAAATAAATTCATTTATATTTCATACTTCTTATCTTTTCAGCCACTGCAGGTCCCCCACAGTTCTATCACTGGGTTAGGTTTTATGCTGTTTTGATTTGTTTGATTTTATTATATCTGATGGCATGGGCAGCTATTTCAAAGACAACAAGATATATTATGGTAACCATTTTGGATTTACTATTATCTTGCTTTCAAGTCCTTTACTGCATTCATTTTTTGTTTCTGCTGGTTCTATTCTGTTCTGTTTTGTTTAATTTTATTATGTCTGATGGTATGGGCAGCTAATTTGAAGAAAACATGAGACATTATGGAAACCACTGTTAATTTCCTATTGTTTTGAAATCCTGTGTCACTTATACTGATTTGTTTTGATTGGCTTTTATTCTGCTTTATTTTGGTTTATTCTCTTTAAAATAAAAATAAAAATAAATTTTAAAAAAGCAAATGCTCCACATGAAATTTGTTATACAGCTTCTTAGCAAGGCATCATAGAGCATCCTTGTAACTTAAGTACCCAGGGAGGCTGAGACAGGAACATGCCAACTTCAAGCCCTGCCTGAGCAACATAGCAATTTAGTGAGATAATGTTCCAAATGTAAAAAAAAAAAAAAAAAGTTTTAAAAAGGGCTGAAGAATGTAGCTCAGCGCAAAGGCCCTAGGTTCAATCCCCAGTACTGCCAGTACTGTAAATAGATAGATGGATAGATAAATGCTTTTAAGGTAATCAATAAAATTTACTGAGAACTTCTGTCTATACCAAGTACTATCCTCAGTATTGAGGGCAGATTAATAAATCAAGACTCAGAAAAAGTTCTTATGTAATATAAAATACAGAACTAAAGTTCATTTATTTTACATTTGCACTTATATTTGTTATAGAACACTAAAGCAAATTATTAGGATTTTTTTGGTAAACCCATGCATTAGATTCTCTTCTGCTTAGCCTTTTTTGAGGTACTCAGAATTAAACAGAGACACTGTGTCACAGACTTGTATCTCCAACCTTTTCTTAAACTATTTTGAGACAGTCTTGCTAAATTGCCCAGGCTGCAGAGTGGATCAGAAGACAGGATGCATCAATATGCTTTATATAAGAAACACATTTAACTCGAAAGAAAATTCATAGACTGAAAGACAAAGGAGAGAGAACAATGCTCTGTCTGACAGAGAGCCAGAAAAAAGTAGGGGTAGCTTGCTCATCAACTACAGAATAGATAAGGAAGATATGGCATTTTTATATAATGGGAAGCTACTCTGCTATAAAGAAAGATAACCTTGAGGCTCTTCTAGATAAACGGATACAACTTGATATCAAGCTCATGGGTGAAATGGTTCAGTCACATGAGTGAACACTGTGTTGTCTCTCAAGTATAAAAATTAAAGGAGTTAGTGGGATCCAAAATGCACAATAGATATTGTGAAAGTGAAAGGTGGGAAAATGTCTAAAAAGGGAAGCAGTGACCACTGTTAATCTATTATTGTTTCAAAACTCTGTATTGTTATCATTGTTCTGTTTAGTTTTATTCTGTTTTGCCTGTATTGTATTTGATAGCATGGGCAGCTATCTCAAAGATAACAAAATATATTACGATAGCCATTATTGATTTCCTACTATCTTGTTTCAAAGCCCTGTATTGCTTTCATTATTTTGTTTTATTTGATTTTATTATGTCTGATGATATAGGCAGCTATTTGAAGACAACAAGAGGCATTATGGTAGCCATTGTTATTTTCTTATCTTGTTTTGAAGTCCTGTATTACTTTCACTGTCTGGTTTTATTCTGTTCTGTTTTGTGTGATTTTACTATGTTTGATGGTATTGGCAGTTATTTTGAGATAACAAGAGGCATTATGGTAGTCATTACTGATTTCCTTTTATCTTGTTTTTAAGTCCTATATCACATTCATTGTTTGGTTTTGATTGACTCTATTCTGTTTTATTTTGCTTGGTTTTATTCTCTTCAAAATAAAATAAATAAATAAATAAATAGCCCAGGCTGGCCTCTAATCTGTGATCCTTCCTCCTGCCTAAATTTGTTGAGTAGCTGGGATTACAGGTGTGAGCCACCATGTCCAGAATTTTTTTTTTTTAACCTAAATTGAAGGAAGTACTGGAAACTAAGGTGGAGATGAGGTTTGAATTAAGTAAACTCAGTTACAATCAAATTGATAATAAAACCATTATATTCAAACCAAGAGCCAACTATATGCACATATATTTCTATCATTAAGTATTATTCTAGGCATAAAAATGCTTGATTTTTCTACTCAGTAAAAATTAATTTGCTTTGCAGAAGTATTAAACCTCATTTTTTTTTTTTAATTCTTAGCAAAAGGATGGAAACTTTGGAAAAAGGCAGTAAGCTTTTAAAAAGCTGTTTCATTTTCTTCTACCTAAGAAAAATACTAATGATATGGGCAACACACAAAGAGAAAATGACTTCCTATAACTTCTTGAAATCCTTCAGCTGAAAGAATTTTGTTCCCAATAAATGGAAAAGAGAAAATAAATTCTTGCAGAGATCTCAAACTAATCGACAAGAGTCAGAAACAGTTAGATTTGATTCTTGCAAATGGGAAAGGGACCAAGAGATGGAGGACAGAGTACAGAAAGAGAATGTAGAGGACATAAAAAGAATCAAGATGTCATGTCCAAAAAAAAAAAAGCAAAACTAAACAAAACAGATGTCATGTCCATGGACCAACTCCCACAGTAAATGTAATCAATTAGTACCACAAACATGTACTCATAAGATGGTGCAGGAAAGAGTTTTAAGTCCATATTTTCCATATAATATCTGGGTGAGACTGGACAATTTTTCTTGCACACCCTATGCCTTGTTGTCTTCTTCTGTAGAATGGGATAAACGGTACTTACTTTAATTCAGAGAAGCAAATCAAGGTAAAAGGAGCCTAGTGTCCCTCCCTCCTATGCATGTGGCTCAGTGGTAGAGCACCTGCCTGCCATATCTATAGAGGCCCTAGGTTTGACTCCCAGCGTACACAGATAAAAAGTTTCCTCCCTTTTCCCTTTGGCCACAAGGCTTTATACTTACATTTAACATTTGAATTGCAAGTTTTCCCAAAAAAGGAATTAAGATGTATTATGTAAATTGACCAATTCCCCACAAGAATGTAAACATTATATACTATAAACATGTTTCAACTTAAAAGTTATTCCCAATTTAAATATTAGAAATTACAAGTGAAAAATACCTACCTGGACCTAAAATAAAACCCAGTGCTTGACATGTGCTTGTATTTGCCATGGAACTTGTTCTTTCTTGAAGGGAAGTAGCACCAGCAACATATGATCTAACAACTGCTACATTTCCTAAGAAAAGACCCAATAATCCAAAGTAAACACAGATGTCTTTGGGTTTATAAAATGCAATATAATCTGACTTTATACAGAAGAAATACCGGCCAACAGTATGGTCCCTTTCTCCCCTTCTACAGTCATACAACACATTTATCTTTATTTAACAAATGCATGAATTAATGGAACATGGTACTTTCAGTAACATGAAATCAGAGTTTTGAATGAATGAAAAAATAGTATTACAACATTATAAAAAAAAGAATATTAAACTTTAAGGTATATTCAGAAAGCTCTGACTGAATGCATAGTACTTATTGCTACAACTGTTTTTAAAATAGAGGTATCACAAACTCTGCATGCAAATTTGTGTGATGTAAGAAATAAGAAAAAACACAATTTAACTAAAAAAAAATGGGGGGGGGGGTACCAGGAATTGAACTCAGGACCTTCCTTGCACCTGCCAGGCAGGCGCTTATGGTGCTGAGCTATATCCCAGGCTAACTCGAAATTTTTATTTAGGGCTCATAATGCTCAAGCCACAGATTATTAAAAAGTATCATAAACTGTCTCTAAATGCAAAAAAGTTTACTAATTGGTGAGAAAGGGTGAAAACAGTGCAAGATTAAAACCAAGTATCAGGGGCTGGGGATTTAGCTCAGTGGCATAAATGTCTGCCTTGCAAGCAGACAGTCGTGAGTTCGATCCCTGGTACCGGTAAAAACCAAAAAGACAAAAAACAACCAAGTATCAAAGACACAGAAGAAATCATCCATTACTAAGAAGCAGGGTAAGCAGAGAAGGCTTCATGTAAGATGTGGAAGTTAACCTACATCTTGGAGGATAAAGAACAATGAGAGCAAAAAAGAGAACCTATACGTAAGGGGCATCATGAACAAAGGCAAAGGGATAGGAAAGCTATTGTACCTTTTTAAGGAAAGATCTGTATGTTGGGCTGTAGGCTATGAGATTGACAAGGAATGAGGCTAGAGGAGAGGCCCAAAAGTATCAGGATGAATGGGAATCTGACATGACCAAACATACACAAACAAATGTATTACCTGCTCCAAATCCCACCAATCCACGAGCAATCAACATGTAGTATTTATTATGAGAAGCTGGGACATGGACATAAGCATAGAGGCAGTTGGCTGCCACCGAAATAAAGATGGAGATGATAAGAGGTTCTCTTCTTGGCCTGTAATTAGACCACAAACCAAATATAGGTGAAGCTACCATCTGGCCAAGGCTAAATGAAGCAATAATCCAGCCCAAAAAACGTGCATCAGCTGTCTGATCAATCTGCAGAGAAACATACATACGAAGCTTTAAGAATTGTTATCCAACACAATTTAAAACCTCGCACATTTGTCTGCACATATAAAATTTTCTAATAAAAACAATTCTAAAATTGAGGTTTTCTAACAGTGTTATTCATAGTAAGGGATTTAAACTTCTAACAATACAATTAAATGTTCTAACAATGAAATGTATACAAAGAAAAACTGCTGCTCTGGCTATGCTGTTCCTTTCATCTTTTAAAATGATTACAGAAATTAATAGTTCAACAAAGTCCTGTTTAGTGATGAGAAGACACATTAGAAAATATCTTCTCAGGATTTCAGCTGATCATAGTCTAGAGTTCACGTCATAAAGAGAAGTGACTCGTGGGGATGGCTCTAATAATTTTATCTGCTGGAGACTGCGAGAAACTTTCCTTTTAGCTGGATGGATATCACTCCTTAAGGTGACTGGAAAGCCACCATCTGCTATAACTGTAATAAGAAAGTAAAATGCTCTGGAAGTCAGAGACTACAGCAGGCATGCTCAGGCACAGTTGTCTGTGCTGCAGGAAGTTTCCTTCCCTCTTACAACAGTACCAGCACATCCTGTTTCTGATCATGTGTCTGGCTCAGATGAGCTCTATCATTCTGTTTTCAGAATCCAACTGAAACCAATTATCATTAAAAAGTAGATGGGGCTGGGGATTTAGCTCAGTGGCATAAGCGCCTGCCTTGCAAGCAGGCAGTCGTGAGTTCGATCCCTGGTACTGATAAAAACGAAAAAGACAAAATAAATAAATAAATAATAAATTTTGTTTTACTAACGTCAGTTATGAATATTGTTATCATCACCCTGGGACTACAGAATAACCAATCATTCAAATCTGGATTTTAACAGAGTCTTTGTTGGGCGCTGTTGAAGCTGGAAATTGACCACATTTGCCGGGCTGGGTCATGGCTGGCCCAAAAACAAAGAGTGGCTGAGGCAAGCAATATGAAGAAGCTGTTTCAGCCCACAGAACACTTAGCCCCAAGACAATCTGAACAGTGTGTTGCTAGGACAAGGGGGTGTCACATGACATTAAAATCCTAAAATGCACAAATAATTGCCCCTACAGTGAAGGGGAAGTTTCTTTCCTCCCATCAGGAGAACAAAGGCTCCACCTGACCCCAGTTTTGTCTCTTCTTTATTTTCTCATCCCCTTGTGGTCCTTCACCCAAAGAACCTCAAGGGCAATGTGGGTCACAGCAAGTCTTCCTGGCAATTAACCTCACCTTTGGGCAACACATCCTAAGGAATCATGTCACTGCTTCCTACCTACAGGCCAGGGCCAGCAAGTACAAATTCAGAATACCACCAGATTTATTTATCTTGAGGAGGAAAGACTTGGATGAGCTTTGCTCTTTCACACAGATGGCTTTTAAGCCAGGCAATGTTTTGCAACATACTATTCTATAAGAGAGAGTTACTTAAATTAAGAATTGAAAATATTTAAGGTAGTAGGCAACTGTGGTGAAGTCAGGTTTTCATTTCTGATGGGTTTGGCTCTGCCATTCTTAGCTGTGTGACCTTGGGCAGAGAATCTGTCTTCTCAGCTGGAATTCTTCATCTGTCAAACAGGACTGACAACTCAGTGCTGTGCCAGGCTCACCATCATCTCTCAAGAGTATCATGAAATCTCTTGAGAAAATTGATACTGTTTTTACTTTTTGGTTTGTTTTTTGTTGTTGTTGGTTTTTTTTGTTTGTTTTTTTACAGGGCAAATTCTTGCTGTGGAATCCAAGCTAGCTGTATAGGAGAGGCTGGCCCAGAACTTAAGATCCTCCTGCCTTGGTCTCCTGAGTGCTGACATTACAAGTTTGTGCCACCATGGCTGGCCAGAACAGTTATATTTATATTGCTAAAAAACAGTGATCAGTTCATGTACTCAATTAACTTATCTTTGCAAATGAAAAGGTTGTACCTTTTCAAAATTCAACATATTATGCTAGGTAGAACTAATCCTTGCAGGTAAGCTTTTTTTTTTGAGACTTTGGGAGCTTAAAAAGACTAGATAGGGGCTGGGGATTTAGCTCGGCGGCATAAGCACCTGCCTTGCAAGCAGGCGGTTGTGAGTTCGATCCTTGGTACCGATAAAAATGAAAAAGACAAAAAAAAAAAAAAAAAAAGACTAGATAAACTGCCATGAAATTAAAGGAATTTTGATACTTACAAATATTTTTTAAATACAAATTTTACTTCAGGTTTTTTTCTTTTGAAATAGTTTTAGACTCACAGAAAAATGTATAAATATGCATACTCCAGAGAGATATATATTCCATACCCAGTTCCCATATTATATCCCATAGCACTTAAATTTTATGAGATATAACAGGTAATCTAGAGATGATCAAAGTTTACAGGATGACATAAGCAGATTAAACACATCACTTGATAAAAAGGACTTACTTGAACATCCAGACTTTAGTATCCTTGAGGGATGGAGACTAGATACCAACTCCCCAGGATCAAGTGACAAATGCATATTACCTATTCTCACAATTACCTAATAACCCAAATTAATTCTATGAAAAAGTATGAAAGTATTCTTCAGAATTATCAATTATACATTTTAGGGATTCAGAATTTCTCTAGTTCAGCTTCCCTTTTTTATTAGGGAAAGCAGTGACAGGATGTGAAAGCAGCTTATAACCACACAGCTCTGCATTTTGCGTCCATGCTGCCTGTGACTGTCTGGGAACGTCCTGCTGCCCTGGTTCCGCACCACTCTACTCTGTGCTTTGCTTGAACAATAAAGCATATGGTCACCTTTCTTGCTCTTCTGAGAAACTACTCTCTCAAGCTACTATAATAGAAGTTAAACACAGAGTACCAAAGAGTTTCTCTGAAAGAGCTTAAGTATGTAAGAGTCACTACTAGTACAGTTACTTCACATAAGAATAGATTGAAATATACAAACCTTTTGGAGATAAGGCCATATTGACATTATCACAATAGAAAACCCTGTGAAAAGGCAAACCGTGTTATTTATATTTTAATCACTATTACAAAGAAAACCTTGGATCTATAGCATGAACTTTTAAATTTCATCCTGAAAATATATGCACATAAATCCCTAATTTATCAAGCAGTGTGATTTCAATTATCAGAAGAAAAATAAATATTGAAGGTTTGAAAAGAACGTACAATTCTATTTTCTGAACAGTGAGATAATAAAAGCTGAGGACCTAGTTCTCCTTGCTAATATACTTTTATTATAAAATAAGAATTACTGAGAGATTGAAGTTTTCATAGCAGAAAAAATTAAAGAAAGGCCACATTGTTATGGAGTGATAGCCTTGCAGTCTGTGTGGGTTTGGAAGAAAGAATTCACTGTAGGAGAGACTGGGAAGTGGAAAAACATTCCTCTAAATAAAGGAGGCAGTTGCAATAAAGAACTATAATACTTAAAGATGAGTATCCCTTTAAAAAATCGATTATCTCTGCTATCCTTTACCACTTAAGAACTGTCGTGATAAACTCCAGCCCCCATTTGTCAGTTTTTAAAAAATTTAAAAGTTAGACAAAGCCAGACAGATATTCAAGAAAGTCTACTTTCAAAATAGATTTATCGATATATAATTTCACAAGACATGCAACTGACCCATTTAAAGTACACAATTCAATGGATTTCTAGTATAATCACAGATATGTGCAACCACCACTATAATCCATTTCTGAACATTTTCATCATTTGAAAGAGATTTGGGTATCACCCTGAGATTCTCCTCAATCTCCTTTCCCATCAACCCAAATTAACAAAACCATCAATGTACTTCTATAGATGTTCCTATTTTAAACTTTCATATGAATAGTCTGACATCTGTGGGCTCTGTGTGCTTCTTTCATTTGGTACAATGTTTTCAAGATTCATCTATGTTAGAAGCATATGTCAGTAAATACTTCATTCCTTTTACAAAATCTTGTTTTTAAAGATTTGATTAGTTTCACTCTTATGCCTTTTGAATTAACAAATTGATTTTGATGAATAAAGAACTGACAGAATCTGAAATCAAGATAACAGGTTTGCAATAAAGAAACCTGTGAACGAGTAAAACGTTCAACACGCCAATTAAAATCTAACAGTGAAGGGCCGGGGCTGTATAGCTCATTGGTAGGGTACTTGTCCATCATGATCCAGACACTGCATTCAGCGCCTAGCATGGCACATGTGCACGCACACACACATCTGATGCTGAATTTTTTCTTTGCTGTTAAACTGAAATTGTTTCTTAAATAACTGTAAAAAAAAAAAACCTCCAACTACAAGGTACATGCCCATAATCTGCTTCTGAGGTAGGGTGTGGGGCTGAGGCAAATAATTGCAAGTCTGAGGCCAGCCTGGGCAACTTAGTGAGTCCTTGTCTCAAAACAAAAAAATTTTTTTAATCCTTTGGGGTACCTGGAATCCAACTCAGGGCCTCACCTGCTAGGCAGCTGCTGTGCTGCTGAGCTATATCCCTGGCCCTCAAAGTAAAAATCTAAAATGGGATGAGGATAGAGCTTAGTAGTAAAGTATCTGCCTAGCATCCTCAAGGCTCAGGGTTCAAGACCCAGTACTAAAAACAATGCAAAACAACCAAAACCTGCAAATTGACACATTCATAAATAAAGCTAATAGAAGCCTGGTGTGGTGGTACATGCCTGCAGTCTCAGCATTTGGAGGCTGAAGCAGGAGGATTGCTGCAAGTTTGAGGCCAGTATAGTCTATAATAGTGAGTTTAAGGCCAGCCTGAACTATATAGCACAACCTTGTCTCAAAAAAGCAAAACAAAACAAAATACACAAAATAAGCTGGGTGTGGTGGTGCACACTTGTAATTCTAGCCCTTTGGGAGCACAAGACAGGAGGATTGTAAGGTTGAGCCTAGCCTGGGTGACTTAGCAAGACCCGGTCTCAAAACTTAAAAAAAAAGTTTTAAAAGGCTAGCGATGTAGCTCAACGTCAAGGCCCTGAGTTCAATCTCTAGTAATTTACCCCCTGCAAAAAAAGTCTGGTGAGGATATGGAAAAAACCCCAACATGTTGGTGGGAATATAAAATGGAGGAGCTGTTATGAGAATTTCTAAAAAAAAAAAAAATTAAAAATAAAATCATCATATGATTCAGCAGTTTCACTTCTAGGTATATTCACAAAAAGCTAACAGCAGGTTCTTGAAGAGCTATTTTCACATCCATGTTCATAGCAGCACTATTCGCAATAGCCAAGAAATGGAAATAACCAAATGTTATCAACAGATGAATGGATAAACAAAACGTGGTATATTATGAAGGGGATCAGAATATGTTATCCTTTAGCATGCTGATGATGCTGAAGGCAACTGAAGAGCAGCAGATGCTGGCTACAGCGGCACATGCCTGTAACCCCAGCACTCAAGAGACTGAGACTGAGGCAAGTAGATAGTGAGTGTGAGACCAACCTGGACTGCACAACAAAACCCTGTGACCAAATGGGAGGAAGAGAGAGAGAGAGAGAGAGAGAGAGAGAGAGAGAGAGAGAGAGAGAGAAGGAGAGAGGGAGAGAGAGAGAGAGAGAGAGAGAGAGAAACAGACAGACAGACAGAGACAGAGAATGACTATAAATGAATGAGAATGAACAGTGAATGCAGAAAGGTGTTTTTCTTTTTCTTTTTTTCTTTCTTTTTTTTTTTTTTTTTTTTGTCTTTTTCCTTTTTATCGGTATCAGGGATCGAACTCATGACTGCCTGCTTGCAAGGCAGGCACTTATGCCGATGAGCTAAATCCCCAGCCCCAGAAAAGTGTTTTCCTCCACTCCCTTTCTGCTCTAAAGCCAGGCATAAATTTTTTCCTGGTATCAACAAGATAGTATTTTTATCACCAGGGATTATACACTGAGATGTGTCTTTACACACAATTTTTACTATATTAACCTTCATCCTCCATTAGTCTCTCCCTTTATTTGCTGCTTACTTTCTCATAATTTACTGCCTATAAAAACCTTCGTCTATCCACTTCCTAATTTACTACCCCTGTATTACATAAATCTATTAACAGCGAATTTGAACACTTTCTCCTATAAGCTGTCTGTCATCAACTTAAATCATAGGTCTCAGGCACAAAAGAAGACAGAGGAAAACGTTTTTGTTGTCTACAGTAGACAGCTATTTAGCCTTAAAAGGGAAGAGAAAGCCAGGTAGAGTGATGCAGGCCTGGAGGCCCACCTACTCAGGAGGCAAGGAAGATTGCTCAGCTTTGTGCATAAGTTTAAGACCAGTACAGGCAACATAGCAAAACATGTCTCAGAAAAATAAAAATAAAAATAATAAAATAAAAAAAAAATAAAAATAAAAATAAAAAGCCAAGCATAGTAGAGGACTGGTGTATTCCCAGTGTCAGGTGAGCAAGGAAGATCATGAGTTGGAGGTCAGCCTAGATGACATAGTAAAGTCCAGGCTCAAGGTCAGCCTGGACTACATAGCAAGCCCCTGTCTCAAAACAACAAAAAAATCAGTCACATGGGACAACACAAATGAACCATGAGGACATTATTCTACATGAAACCATGAAATAACCTAGTTACAGAAAGAAAAATACTATATGGTCCCACTTACATGAGGTATCTAGAGCAGAAAAATATATAGAAACAGAAAGAAGAATGGTGACTGCCAGGGAAAAACAAGGAATTATTTAGTGGGCATAAAGTCTTGGTTTTGCTAAACAAACAAACAAAAAAGTTTTGATTTTTCAAGAGAAAATGTTCTAAAGCACAGGTGTCCAATTTGGCTCACCTGAGCTGTGCTGAGTAAAGAACTGTCTTAAGCCACATATAAATGTGCACACAAGTAACAAACCTTCCTTTTTCACATTTTTTATTATGACACAGGGTTGTCTAAACCATGAGCCACAGGGCAGACATGCTTATTTAACAACAATAAACAGCCGTCTTCATAGACGCATGTACACGGCCAGGTTATCACGTATTATGAGTAACCAAGCTGTGCAAGCGTGTGGAATATGTGATACACGAGTTTCAATCTGGCGGCTGCGTGGCAGGCACAGGAGGCAGCGTTAGTCAGCACTGCTCTTTCCCTAACCAGTCTTCCGCTGTTGCCTACGCAGCCTGCATTCAAGTACTCACAATCAAGTCATGAAAGACACAGCTAAAAATCCCTTAATAACATTAAAAGTTTATAATCTTACAAGCTGCGCAGGGTCACATGCCCCACTCCTGCTTTACTGGCTGGTTGTGTAACAGGAATATACTTAATACTGCCAAACTTAGAAATGTTAAGGTGGTTAGCTTTGTGGGGTTTTTTCTTTGGGGGGGGGGTGCTGTCCTTTTGAGACATGAGTTTCATTATACACTTCAGTTAGCCTTGAACTCACTCACTGTGTAGCCCAGGCTGGCCACAAACTCATAGCAATCCTCCTGCCTCAGCTTCTTGAGTGCTGGAATTACAGATGTGTGCCACCATGCCTGGCCTGTTACATATTTTTAGTATAATACCGAAGATTTTAAAAATATTAACTGAGGTTAAAATGTCATTGTTTTAAATTTTTAAATTATGCATAAGTTTTAGTACTTACCTACACTGCTGAGAAACATAGTAAGATAAAGAATCCTAATAGATCTCCATCTGCTCTTATAATGCTCTTGAGTTTCTATAATGTCCCATTCTCTAGGAGTAAAGAAAACAGTATAGATTAAGCATTCATAATCTGAAATTCCAGAATACAAAATGCTCTGAAATCTGAAACTTTTTGAGCACTGACATACCACAGGCAGAAACTCCTACACCTACCCTTCTATGATAGGCAGGTACAAGTGCCCTAAAAATAGTAGACAAAATTAACTTTTAATATTCCAAAAGTTTAAAAATCCAAAATCCAAAATCTGGCACTCTTCTGCTTCCAAACATTTCAGATAAATTTACAAAGGCTGCAAATGCCTGGAACTGGTGAATGGATAAAGATGTGTTTTTTTATATAATGGAGTACTGCTTTGCCACAAAGAAGGATAAACTCAAGACATTTCTAGGTAAATGGTTGCACCTTGAGACCATTCTCTTAAGTGAAATAAATCAGACACACATGTGTAAACACCACATTGCTTCTCTGATGTGAGAAACCAAAAGTATAAATAAGGAACAAAAATTTTAATAGGTATTATGAGAAATAGGAATAAATGTTCAAATGGGGAGGTGAACAAGGGAGAGGTGAGGGTGAAGGAAACAAGGGAAAAAGGTTTTTTGCTTGTTTTGGGGGGTTAAAAAAATGAGAAAAGGAGGAAAAAAAGGAAATAAAGTTTTTGTAAAAAGAGGAGAAAAGAAAAAAAAGGAGAAAAGAGGTTGCAGGGAGAGTAGGGAAATAGAAAAAAAGAAACAAGAAATAGCGTATATGTGCACAAATCCTCTACGATGAATGTGATTTATGTTTACATCTAAAATATATCAATAAAATCTGATTAGAAAAGAAAATTTACAAAGATTGCATATTCCTTATCTCATTACAAGCAGAATGTTGTGCTAATCGTTTTTTCTCTTCCCTAAAGTGATAAAAAATGATACAAAAGGGGTATAACTTACTAATACTGGTTTCTGCTATACTACTTTATCTATGAATTAGCATTACTTTTTAATTTTTATGATTATATTTATGCATCATTGTATATACTTAGCAACAAGATACCTTATATTTCTTTATTTATTGTCTTTTTGAGACAGGGTCTCACTAATCAGTTCAGGCTGGTCTTGAGCTTACATTGTAGCCCAGGCAGGTCTAGCACTTGCAATGATCCTTCTGCCTCAGCCTCCTGAGTGCTGTGATTAAAAACATGGGTCACCATACCTGGCTACAAAATACCTTTAAAAAGCAAAACATTGAGGTGAGCATGGCAGTACACTCCTGCAATCTCAGCATTCAGGAGGCCAAAGCAGGAGGATCACTGTGAGTTTCAGGCCAGCCTGCCCTACACAATGAGTTGAAGGACAGCCTAAGTTACATAATAAGACCTTGTGTCAAAAACACAAACCAGGGGGCTGGGGATATAGCTCAGCAGCATAAGGGCCTGCCTTGCAAGCGGGCAGTCGTGAGTTAGATCCCTGGTACCAATAAAAAGAAAAAAAACAAAAACCACCCCCAAAAAACCACAATCCAAGACTGGGGATTTAGCTCAGCAGCACTAAGTACCTGCTTGGCAAGTGCAAGGTAATGAGTTCAATCCCCAGTACAAAAAACAAAACAACCCAAATAAAAAGCCTAAACACTTTCAAAACAATTGTTATTGCTGGTATGCACATATTAATTCGGAGTATTGAAATCTGTCAATCTAACAAAATAAGTAAACTTGAACAAAATGAAGCTCAGAGTAAGACAAAAGTCTTTTAAGTAGGTTTAATTTGGATAGGGTTACTAAATGTGTAATGTACTATAAGACCACATGTAATATGGTTAGATATAGGGTTATGACTTAAGAATTCTGCAATCTTTCTGAAAGACAGAAAAAAACAAGAAAATCAAACATGATTCTGACAAATCCAAATGTTACAGTCTGTGTACTCAAACTTACACACTTTAAACTAATAGGAAAGATCTTTAGCCTTGATCAAGGTCTATGTATTTCTATCAAAATAGACACATGATGTCAAAGCCACAGCAAAGTAGAAGTCCTGAAATAAACCTGGAAGAGAGCTTGCTGAGAGCAAGAAAAACAGGAGCTGCTGAGATTTCAAAAATGTCAAGAACAGAACCGGCAGAGAAAATAGAAGGTCAACATGTGTATTTGAAAGTATGGAAGTCGACAGTCCCAAAGGTCTAGACTGGCTTAAAGGATATCACTGTATCAAAAATAGACTTCAGTCAGCATTGTTTGTTTGGGGATTTTTGGCTTTTTGAGATAGGGTTTCACTATGTAATTTGGATTGGCCTTGAACTCACAGGATCCTCCTGCTCCAGCCTCCCAACCCGGCAGTATTAATGTCATTTTAATGATCTTAAGACAAAAATCAAGACAAAATTGTATTTCTACATATTTTGATAAATTGTCAGGGGTTAGGGAAATACATTTTCTAAAGGGTTTCAATTATAGAGATTAAAATAAAAATCTGGTGAATGAGATAAGCAAAACTTACGATTCAGACAGTTTAATTATGTAAGAGTTAATTTACTTGATACAATCTTATTTGTTTAATATAATTCTATTTTCCTAAAGATAAAAATACATATTTAAGTGTGAAAGTACAAACGTTTCTCAAACACGGCCAATAAACTAGGATCAAAATTTTATTTTAATTTTAAGGAGGGTAAAACAAAACATAGAACAAAGCAGACAGAAGAAAACAATGTAAGTGACACAGATTTCAAAGCAAGACAACAGGAGATCAATAGTGGCTACCATAATGTCTCTTGTTTTCTTCTAAACAACTGTCTATAGGATCAACATTTTAAAAATCATATGGATCAAAATATTGACGCTCTTTGAAGGTTAAAAATTTTTATTTATACATTTAGCACAGGACAAGTCAGCCCATTTTGGACGGATTTACTCGCTATCAAAGGATCAAGAAATACCAGTGATTACTAAGACCAGTATCTTCAAATACCGATTAAGACCATTTAAGAACTTTTAATTAATATGGGAAACGATCAGCCGTACACGGTAACAAAACGCAGTGGCATAGCTGCTGCAGTACTGTGACAGTTAAAGTCAAAGAGGTACCTTAGCTTTCAAAAAAAAAAAAAAAAAACTAGCAAAAAGGATTTGGTAGGTAAGAAAAAGTCCTCATGCAGTGACATCAAGATTGCACAAGACAAGTATCTGACACTGGTTCGGTGAACTGCGGCGACCTCGGACTCTCGACTCTTAATTAGCTCACCTGCAGGATTCTCTTTGAAAGACTTCCCCCTCCCACGTCTGCCGTCGCCAGCGTAACCTGTATTGCAAATTATCTGCTAGTAGTCCCCAGTCAACTCATTTATTTTGCTTGTTTTTCTGTTTTCTTTTTAGGCTGAGAACCCGAGCCACGCGCTCACTGCCGCGCGACCAGGAGCCTTTCCCACCAGAAGCCTGAAGCTGCGAGTGACTCCAGGATCCCGACACCTGCGGCCGCGAGGACACCTCTCGGTGTGATGGTTCCGCCCAGGGCTGTTGATGCCACGAAGGGTGCCAGTGCCAACAGCAGCGCAAGAAGGCTTAGTGCCTCTCCACCAGCATCAACTCACCGGCTTCGGGATGTGTGGTCGCCTAAGAGCGCCTCTCGTTCAGCTTCGACCCCCGGACTCGCCATAGTCACAGGGTCACAACTCTCGCGACACCCACCCCCGACCCCCAGCTGCCTGCGGCCTCGGTGAGGACTGCGAGTGCGTGCGCGCGCCCGGCGGCCGGAAGTGGGCGGGGCGGCCTGAGGTCCGAGGCGGAGTCACGCGGGAGGCCAGGCCGCTGCGGCCCGAGCGGAACAGGGGCGGGGCTCTGTGTTCGTCGCCTCCACCCTGCAGCCGCCCCCGGAGTAAGCCGAACACCGCGGGGGCGTTCCCTAAACAGCCCCGCCCAGCCCGGCCGCGCGCTGTCTTCCTCCAGCGCCTCGCGGCGGCCCGCCGATCACACGGCTGTTCCTGGAGAGGCCGGGGTGCCCGCCTTTGCCCGCTGACGAAAGTCCAGTCTCAGAAGCCTCGAGAGCAGCGGTGCTGGGAGGCTCGGCCCGCTTGAGCACACAAGTCCGCCCAGTGGCTAGTAAGTAGCCGGCTGACCCCGGCCCTCCTGGGTTCTGCGCGCAGCGTACGTGACGTGAGGCAGGGAGCCGGGACGCGGGACGCAGGGCAGCTGGGGGTCGCTGCCTGCAGCGGGAAGTGGAGGTGGCTGCGGCCTCTCGCTTTCTAGGTTGGGTGACTACATGACAGCGTCACCTGTAGTGCTTGCGAGGGCCGGGCCTGAAGGTGAGATCCAGCCCCTTACCCGAGGGTCCCCAGCCTGCACCCCGCTGAGGTCCCTGGAACCTGGAAAGGTGCCCTCAGCAGATCCTGCTCCTGGAGCCTCGGGCTTAGAAAGGGCACGGGACCTGCCTAGCCACACAAGGAAGATGGCATTTTTAGAAAATCATGATATTTTCGCTGGCTGCAGATGCTACTTTCTTCCTGGTCGTTACATTAACTCCTTATCTTTACAGCCAGGCTCCTAGGCTCACTGATGGCAATAGTCAGCATGTGTGTGTCATAAATTAACATTTTATTAGCGCCAGCTACATTGTCATGTGATTTTATTTGATTATGACTTTTCCTTGAGATAGGTGTGCAGAGTACAAATTTCCATTTTATTGAGAATTGAGATCCAGGGACGTTAACTACTCAGTCACTCATAGACGTGGCAAGAGTTGGGACACAAACTCGGTTCTTTTCAACTAATATTTCTTTCCTGAGCCAGGTTTCCTATGAGTTGTAGTGTGTGATGTTGCTGTCTCCTCTAATCTTTGACTTATTTGTGACCTTCTGTGTGTTAAGTACATGTCACCAGTAAACAGCTAAGCTGGAGATGATTTCTGTTGAGAATTAATCTTTTGAATCCCCTGGTTCTTTGGTAGGGATTGAATTCACTCATGCAAATTCATTTGTAACACCTCACAAAAACATGTCAGATCCCAATAACTGGGAGGTAGTGTTACTCCACCATGCTTTTCCTTGGTCCTCAGAGGCTAGCTTAGTAGTGTATGTTGCAAATAATAATGGACAAAGAAACTTTTATCTTTGCACCAAGCAAAAAGGATATACATCTGTGTGTAATAGATATTAAATACTTATGATGAGTAATACATATTAAATTTCCTCGTTTCAGCCTCACATCTTTTGAGGTACAATTGGAAAATTTCCGCAAAGAATACTGAAGTAACTTACATAGATCATCATCTGAGAAGCAGCCATTTAAATTTGGGTATGATAGCACACACTCTGGAAGGGGAGCCAGGAGGATTCCAAGTTTAAACCCAGCCTGGGCAGTTTAGTGATTTGACAAGATCTTGTCTCAAAATTTTAAAAATTTAAAAGGCTGAGTATATAGCTCATTGTGGAAGACCCTGGCTTCAATTTCCAAGAACACACACAGACTTGAATTCAGGAAACACAGAATCCTAAATGTAAAGGTGTACTGTTTACCAAAAGGCTTCCTGTGAAAGAATAGCAAGAACAGTCTTTCTCTATATCTATTAAACTAAAACTTAATTTTTGTAAATGAAATAATTTGCTGTGGTGTATTAGGTCAAAGATTGTTTCCCATTGTATGTTCGGGTGGCTTTCTCAAGGTCACACAGCCAGTGGATGTACCTGAGTCTTTTGCCACTGGTGTTTTCCATTGCTGCCTCCAAGTGATGACTTCAGACCACAGGATACATGCAATGAGTATGTCACAAGTGGTGAAATCTGAATAAGCTCCAGTATCTCTTGGGAATCCGCATGCCCTTAATATCCAAAGTAAATATTTTTTAAAACCTCTTTTTAAAGGCCTTTGAAAAGGTGTTAAGATTACTTCCTGAATGTTTCATACAAAGAGCAAACAGTCTACTCATTGGATTTCATTAGATGAGTGTCAGAATAAATATGCATACCCTTCCCAAACAAATGAACTTCCTGTTTTTCTACTCTTTTCTAGTGTAAAAGTAAAAGAAATTAAACTCACTGCTCAAGGGTAGTTTTTCATGCTGGGTGTCTGAGTAAACCCTTGCTTACTATCTTAAACTTTTACTGGAAAGTAATTTAAAACAGAAGTTACTAAGCAAAAATTAGGTCTTTTTATTTAGAAAGTTTTTGTACATGGTGTTTTTTAGAATTTCATTATACCTTTGAGATATATGTAGACACTCTGTAAATAGAAATCCAGAAAAAAATTAGATTTATACTGTTTAAATATCTAGATACCACAGAGGAGGTAAAAAGTACTAGATGATACAATAGGCCATCAGTGTCACTTTAGCAATAGAGCTCATTTCTAGGAAAGACATATGATTCCTTGGCATTGTACTGAGCTTCTATTTTTGTTTCACTTTTTCCTCCCTTTTATAGTGGTTTAAAAATGTAGATGGGCAGTTGTATCATTTTGGCTTGATACATACTTCAGAAGTAGATCCTATTTCTGCAGAAGCTCTTTGGTGTCAGTGAAGCTTAAAATAAGGGCTTTTTGTATCTGGCATGGCTCTAGATGGTGCCACTTTTTGATAATTGGAGTTGCATTTACCCTGGACTTGGACTGTTGTTTGCTTATGGCGGCACTGTGTATCCCGAATACAGCCAGCCCTGCCTAGAAAGATTGAAATATTTAGATAGTCAGAAAATCCAAGTATTTTATATTGTTTTTGGGGCTGAAATAGAATGTAAGAAGATCTATATAAAAATCCAACAACCTTATTTATAGTAAGCTATGGGTGTGTGATTTGCTTTGTGTTCATTTGTCAGTTGTTTACTGAGGTAAATATAGCAAGGAGTACGCTGGTTTTAGACTTGGAGCAGACTGTTCTACCTCCGCCACTGCCCCCACCATTGCTCAATACTGAGGATTGAACTCAGGGCCTTCACACTACACTACATCCCCAGCCCAGTTTTTTATTTTGTATCAGACTATTTCTGAGTCACTAAGTTGCCCAGGCTGCATTTGAGTTTGTGATCTGCTTGCCTCAGCCTCACAGAGTCTGGGGCTACAGACGTGCACTACATACTCCAAGTCCAGCTTGGAGTGCTGACTCTTACAGCCTGTGTAATAAAGGTTTCTAGTTTAGGATTGAAAATCAGGAATGGCTAAACAATTTAGGCACGTATTAAATATAGTATGTTACAAAAATTTTGAAAAGTTTATTGTTCTTAAGTGACCGGCACAGCCCCAATGAAACGGGAGACGCTTCAGGTGGTAACAGGAACTGCCGCTGTATTTACGCGGGCTCTGGTTTATATATTGGGCCGTGACCAATCACAGGCTGCCCCAAGGAAGCAGGGCTGGAATGGGACGCAGGCTCTGGCTACTATACCCAGCTGTGGCCAATCAGGGGTTGCCACAGAGTCTGAGCACGAGGTGGGCACGAGGTGGCTAGTTTAGAGAGGGACGTAACGCGCATTGCGGAAGCTGACGTAGTCTTATCGTCCGGGGCGGGGTGTGTTGAGCGCCTGCGCCCGACACTTAAGTATTTTCTTGCTTCCCTTACACTTTTTTTACTTATGTATGTCTTTAGTTTTATCTCCCACCAGCATAAAAGACTGTTGAAATTTTTAAAAGTTAAATCTTATGAACAGTATATTATTTTTCTTTTCACTGAAAATGCTAGAGTTGGATTTTTAATTTTGTCTTTTTACTAACATGGAATCTGCCAATTGCTATTGATGCTATGGATGTTGCAAAGGAAAACACTGAACCCAGCCCATCCTGCGTTAGTAGAGAAAATAAAGGGTCTATAATACAGCACTTGTAAAGACAATAAAATCCTAAATTATGATGATATGCCACTGTTCTGCAGTTTAATAAATACACATAAAAAACCTATCCGTGTTTTATTTTGTGGTACTGGGGATGGAATCTGGAGGCTTTCTACCACTGAACTACATAACAGCCTTATTTACTTCTGAATGAATGAATGGATGAATAGATGACAGAGTCTAAGTTTCCAGGCTGGCCTTGAATTCGTGATCCTTATCCTTCAGTTCCCTTGATAGCTAGGATTACAGGCATATAACACTGTGCCTGGCTCAGTAGTATATATTTTAATAATTCCAGAAAGGTCCAAGGAAGTAATTAAAATCACTTTTCACTCAGAATTGCTTCCTTATGCTATCCCTGTTGTCCCAAAACATATCCAAAGGGTTGGCCGGTTTGGAATATGTAACACTCATCAGAATTTTACAAGTTGTGTAAAGAATAAACTATTGTGTGTTTCTACTCCACCTGGGTATGCTTCAGGTCAGTATGACACTCATCACCCATCATTAATACAGACCTACAGGTTAAAGGCACAGTCTTCTTTTTTTTTTTTTTCTAGATAGCATTCTGGGGAAAAAAAGGCACAGCCTTCTAGTGTCACTGCCAGTGCTAATCACACTTCAGGAATCTCTTGATCACCCAGCCTTCTAAGTTACTTGCCTGCAAATTTAGAGATTAAGATCCTTGTGGCTCAGGATATCACTGTACAGTACTGAAACTGCAGCATTAGCACAGTGTAGTGATGCACAACTGTAGTCCCAGCACTTGGGTGGCTGAAGTAAGTCCCCATGAGTGGACAATCTGAACTACATAGCAAGACTCTGTCAAAAATTTTTTTTAAAATAAAATCGGGGCTGGGGATTTAGCTCAATGGCACACGCACCTGCCTTGCAAGCAGGCAGTCGTGAGTTCGATCCCCGGTACCGATAAAAAAAATAAATAAATAAAATCAGGGTTCAGGGACATACTTAAGCGGCACAGTGCCTGCTTGGCAAGCACAAGACCCTTAGTTTGATTCCTGGTACCAAAATAAATAACTAAATAAATTGCAGCTTTCTAAAGGATACAGCTCAGAAACGGTCAAATGAAGGAATATGAAAGAAGCAGTGTGGAGCTGCCGTGCCTGTCCTTGTAGAGTCCGGAGCATCTCCTTCCAGAGATAGCAAAGTGCGCATCAGCTAAAAATCTCCAACCTTAGTCAGAGTTTTTACTGGGGAGTCATTACATACACATGAATGATTGAATCATTGGACAAGTTATTAAATGTGATTTCCCACTCTGTTCCC